GAGGCTACACAAAGGATGCTTTGCTATGCAGGTCTGACTTGGCGATATGCAGGAAACAGAGGGATACTACGCCACGTGCATCTGAAATGGCAGTTATGCAAAAAAAAAAAAAAAAAAAGCAGGATGCATGTGCCCAATCTGCCTCTTCCCACCTACTGCAGTAGGCATAGCTAAATGTCAGTGATTTCCCACAACTCCTCATGCTCGAGGGGATCCCAAGAATATTTTCTTGATATTAACATTCCATGATCAAAGCAGATGTAGGAGATCCACAGCTCTTTCAGCTTTCCAGGTATTTGGAAATAGCCCTGCAAGCAAGGACAAACATCCCAGGCTGGCACTTCAGTTTTGGTGACCGCACACTGCCAGTATGGATTCTTGTAGACTGACCACAGGTTGCTGCTCTGGCAGATGAAGCCTCACCAGAAGCACCTGGACAGCCATGCAGATTGCTTCAGTTACTAGCTAAGCGGTGGTGGATACCTGCTCACTGCGCATGGGGCTGACGAAAAGGATAGTGAAAACTCCCCAACGTTAACACTAGGTCTCACGAAGCAAAATACCTTTACTGCTAGAGCTGTATGTTGCCTTCAGTATAACATTTGCAAAGTTGGGAGGTAGGAGGAGGGAAGACATTTGGACAGACAGACCGAGGCAATTATAGAAAGGAGCACTTCAAGCAGCTGCAGGGCTGAAGGAGGCCTTGCAAGAATAGTTTGTCAGTACATCGTATGTCAGTACTACTGAGCCTACTGCTACTTTGGGTAACGTCATGAATAAACTACAACTCTGGCTTGTATATGAATTTTAAATGAGCTGTTAGTACACCCAATGAATCTAGCAAGAGAATACCAATTTAGGGCTCTGACGGTCTGGCTCTATAAGACCAAGTAAATAACTCAGTAAATAACTCAAGTAAATTTCCTGACACTTTATTGAGCATGAGTGAACAAACAAAAAACAAAACCAGAACTACTTCTACAGACAGTTTAAGCTGCAGAAGACCAGAACGGGGTAAGACGCTGACCCAGAGCACGCAGCGCCAGCCACTGGGCTGGGCAGAAGGGAGCTGTGGTCTTCTGCGCTTTTTGGCACGGGGAGGATGGAATATAGCAAGTGCGAGACACATCTCAGCAAGCACCGACTACTGGGTTTTGTTCCCAGGAGAGTGTGACGTGGGCTCTTGCAAGGGCTATAGGATGTCTCCAGGCACTTCCTTACATATCTCCTGGAGCTCTTGGAAACATCCAGGCACATGCCCACTCCCGCCTGTTTCTTCATCCCCACTCACAATCGATTTTTAAGTATCTAAGGAGAGATATCTCACTGAGCTGGCTGAGAAAGAAGAGAAAAGGGAAGTGATCTTGGATAAAGTATGTAGGAAATGTCAGTGAGGAAACTTCAGCACTTTTCCCCCTACAAAGCTCTCCAGAAGAACATGAACTAGGAAGTTTTCTCCGGGATAGGATTAGAGGGGAATATACAAAGTTTAAGGTGGGGGGGGGGAGAGGGGAAGAGTTGGACCACCACCTTTCCTGAGTATCCCGCAGAGGAATAGTGCAGTAGTACCTCCAAGCACACTACAGTCTACAGATTGCTCGTGGCATGCCAGAGTTGCAGGGAAGGTCACCCTATAGCCAATGTTCTGATCACTGCTTTGCACAGACAATGTTGCTAAAGCTCACTGCAGTGCAACACGTGGCAGGTCCCATCCAGGCTAGTGAAACAACATTGCCCTTCCTATCACTGCATGCTCAAAGATGAGGCAATCTGCTGCCTAAAGCACAACTGAAATATCAGGGCCAAGATTCACTGGAAACCCCAAGAGAGCAGCAGCAGGGGAGCTCGGTGCTTGGTTCAAAAGTCCAGCCGTGTCCCCCGACTCAGCACCACCCTGCCTCCTTCCAGCCACGAAGCCAAGTGCAGGAGACAATCTCTTCTGGCTAGTTTGCAGGGAACACAGGCATGTCGTTGCCTGTATTCACCTCACATTACTAACCATAAAACTGCATTGGAGTGGTCCATTACCAGATGGCTTTCAGAGTTATTTTAAACGTTAGCTTGCATTTTCTTTGAATATTCAAATGTTCATGCTGGTCTGTTTTCCTTCCCTATGCAGTGCATTGATTTATGTTGTTAGATACCGTATCTCCCTGCCTTGCCAAAAGTATGCATTTGGGAATGATTTCAGGGCTGCTGGTATTATTTTTCTCTCCTTTTATTTTGTACTTTATTTTTATTAACTTTTTTTGCTGAATATGTTGTAAAAAATAAAACTGTGTCTTCAAGAAACAAAACCAAAACCCCAAACCCCTCCTCAGCTCTTTGCCCATCCGCCTCAGGCTCCACCAGTTTCAGAGAAGTTAGCTCTGACGACGAGCACAACAAAAGCAGTATCTATGTATTCACATACCTACCTGAGCTTTCCCCTTCCTCAGCAAACTCTTGCTTTAGGAGCAAGTGTGTGAGGATTAGCCAGGTCCTGAACCCCTAGGGTTACTTCTTCAGCAGAGTGATTCTCCTTAGAAACGCGTCCAGGTAAGAGGTAAGGACCACTGGTGTCCCGTTCTCATGAGCTATGAGGTGCTTGGAGACCCCTGGCCACTCTTATGCGTAACACCATCTGGCACAGAAGCTGTGACCTTTAGTGACTTTTAGGAACAGCAAAGTTCCTTCCCACTTCTTCAACAATATTACTCATTCTTCTTAAATCTTGACTTCTACACTTAACTTCCACCCTCATATAAGTTCTTCAGCCCTAGGAGGATTCAACAGATAGATTTGCACTGCCTTACCCTGTGCAGGCTAAGGAAATCCAGTATTTCCTTCTTGGATCAGGCAGCAGTGTAAGGTTTAGGGAGGTAGCTGCGTCCAGAGTTGTTCCTTTACGCTTACAAAGGAATTTTAGGGGCAAAAAGAAAAAAAAAATAACAAAACACTAAATGCATGAGGATTTTAAAACTAGAGACGTAGATCAAAGGTAGCATGACGTATGTGCGAGGACTCAAAACTGCAGGTGGCACAGTCTCTGGGACAGAAATCAAGGCACCATAGCATTGCTGCTGGACAACATTTTGCTTTTACACACAGGCGCTGCAACCCTGGGACAGTGCAAGTACACGACTGCTAACGAGGAGACAAATTTAACCAGTACACGCTCAGCTATTAACCACCCTGCATCCCAGCTAAGCACGGAGGCACACCGTTGCGTACTGCTATAAGGCACTGGGACTTTGACACGTGAGCTAGCCTTAGTGTAAAGGTGTGAGCGATTTTTACTATGAATATACCTTAAGGTAGATATCTATCTTAAGACCCCTGTGAAGCGTCAAGATCTCCTTGCACCAAGTGGTAGACACCAGGTACGGAAGACAAAAACAGCCAATTGGACAGAAGAAGGTGTAAGGATTTTCCAACAACATGACGGTTGTTCGTGGTGAACCCCTCAGCACACAGACACCTCAACTTCTTGTCTGCCCTCAGGAGTCAGCACTGACGTGGCTTCAAAGCAGCCACCACCAGCTTCACTCTAGCAGCCCTGGAGCGCTCACAAAGTCAGGACACAGAAGGTAAAGCTATTTCACCACAGGAGCTGCCCCAAGAGCTGCTCTATTTCCAGCTGTTAACTCAAAGCACAGCCCAACCTCTCAGAAACATCTTCCCATTTCACTCGGGGCTCCACTGTGCAAACGGACAAAGGTCCTGGCTCCCAGACCAGCCTCCAGGCCAGCGTGGCTACGGATACTGCCGGGGAGCTTCCCCTTCCACTCACACCACCCTAGGATCTGCGGTGCTTTCCACGCACAAGGAAGATGGCTAGGGTACAAGGCGTAACGAAGGACCTCTCCTCTTCCACGTCCTGATAACGTACCCTCCATACCCCTCCCCTTCTGTCGGCTCAAGTGGAGGATCTGTCCATCAACGTGAAATGCAGTCTGCAGAGCCGAAGAGTATGCAGCATGAGTGCTGCCCATGAATCACAGATGCTGGGGATATAAAATACCCAGCCACCCTTCCCATACTCCTGCCAGCACAAACCCTCCCTTGCTATATTTCTGAGCTGCATCATTCTCTACTAGCAAAGGGGAGAAGTAATTTTACTTCAAGTGTCACCTGTGAAAGTTGCAAATGGGGGCAGGAATAGATTAGCTTATCTGCAACAAACAGTTAAGAAAAACAGCAAGTAGCTCCAGAGAGAACAGGCATGAAAAGCAGTTTTCTTTCTAAACAGCAGAGCAAGGTGTCACTACTATGAAGCGAGTTTTGTTAGGAGGCATCTGGATGCATTTCTGGTCCCTAATCCACACAGGCAGCGAGCAAAGATGACTGTGCCTCTTAAACTCTTTTTAATAAAGCCCAGAGGAGACTGAATGCATAGAAATCTCTTATAAATGGAGCATTTTGAAGTTATTAATGTTTCTGTGGCACTGTGAAACTATGTTCAGCTTGGGCTCAAACACTCCTTGCTCATCAACATGGGGACAAATAAATTTGCAACAGAAAATCATTTCCTATTGTGTGGAGCTTACTAGAGCATCAAGGGGGATGGGGTGTAGGGGAGACCTAGTTTCCTTCCTCAGTGCCTCTCCCAGCAGTGGCCTTCACTTCAAATTTATACAGAAAAAGATTCCCATCAGGTAACATTATCACCATAAAAATCAATGCAAATATATACAGTCACTATAAACTGCATTTCATTTACGTCCCTGGAATACTATCACAGTTCTTCCTTCAAGAAGAGCGAAATCCGAGGCAACCGCCAAAGCCTCGACTTGTGCCTCAAGATAAAGGTGAGAGCACATCAAAAAAACGCAGGTCAGACAGACCATAATTCAGCAAGTCACCCGACCCCACCTGAGCAGGGAGTATCGCATGAACTCGAGGCGCCCAACCACCAGGAAGGCTTGACTTCCCTTATCCGAACACGTCCACGCAGAGCGGTCCAAGCCACCAGCGGAGGGGTGGTTAAACGCAGGTCAGACACTAGGCTCTGTACTCACCGATCCTCAGGGAATGGGGGATGGCAGCGCTCTTCATTAGCCACAGCAGAAGGAGCACCAGAGGCGCCAAGACACGGGGCATCTTCTATAAATCCTCATGGAGCCCTTTGGTGGTCTGGGCATGACATAACTCTGCGGAGAGGAAGACACGGCACTGTGAGCACCTCAGCTCTCGAACCAGCAACTCAGCAGAATGACACGGCTTTGAGCTTGCCAAGTACTTGGGACAAAGCGTCTATTTACCAAAGGAGGAGGAGGAAGCTATTTACAGACTATGAATTATTCAGGAATTGGAGTCAAACTGGGCAAAGAGCTTCTAACAAAAAAATAGGAAAGAAACCCAAGGAAAAGTCCAAATATTTCATCTTGGCATTTTTAGCACTTCCACAAAAACAAGTGGAAATCAATATTGAGTCACATCTATTTAATTTCCTTTTTGTTCATTTTTTATTTAAAGCATCCTGCAACTTGAAATATAATACTGAGTTCTGGTTTAGGATAGGACAAAATATTTTCAAACCAAACATGATTTGAGGAACGGAAGTCAGAGGAATAGTCACTTTGGCCACCAAACTAGAAACCAACTCTTTGTATTGCTCCAGCCCCAATGTGACAGTGACCATCTTCCTTCTCTTTCACATACAAGATGCAGGACAAAACCAAGAGCAGGTCCGTTTCTTTCTCTTCTTACCAGGCAACCTAGCTTGCAACACTTAGTGGTCTAGCTTTCAAAATCCAAACATCATTAAAATGGGAGAAGAATTCACAAAGCTATCATTTGTACAGAAATTGGCACTGGTTGCCCCACAGCAGATTCCCCAGTACAGTTAAACAAGTTTTTAACAAATACCATTTAAGCAGCTACAGAGAGAAGAGATTTCACTTTCCAGCAGAAACGGCTGTCCCTCAAGTTGATAAAATTATCTCCGCAGGCAGTAATGTCCTTAAATGCTGACTTTGAGTATTTCATCTGCTACCTTATCTATCCCTTCTCCAATTTACTGGCAAACATTCTCACACTACTCCATTTGTCTAATTTGTGGGCCAAACATGCCAGTCATGACACAGGCAAAAGTTTTTAATCTGCCTTTGAAGTTATGGGGAGTTTTGTTCGAGAAAGGTATAGCTTTTTTTTTTACCTGCAATTTTTAAATTCAGCTATTTTTAGATTACAGGCAGACGTCCGCCATCTCGTCTCGGCACTCCCTAAGGGCTATCTCCCCCTTTTTGCAGAGGGGGAACGGAGGCAGGAGAAGAGACCTGGCCACAGACACAACCAAACCGCGGGGGCCGAGCTGGGCATCGCTTACGGGTCCGGCCACCCCCTGCACAGCTCCTCTCTGTCGAGCGACTTCCGTTCTAGATCACGGCGCTACTTGGAAGCTGGCCCCACCAGCCTTGCCTTCCGCGTCACAATTTACTCAGTTTTGAGAAAAATCAAGGGACCGCAGGTTCAAACGCCAGTCAGAAGCTTGCAGAGCGCCCTGACTTAAAACGCGCTGAGCCCTCGCCTTCTGCAAAGGCAAAACCTGCCAAAACCACTCAGAAATCATTAGCCACCTCCGAGAAGCACAATGACGGTTTTCTTTTCTTTGGTGGGAGTTACTGAGCAACGTCTATGGAGGAAAAGCCCTAAAAGGTTACGCATATGGTAAATTGGTTACTCAGAAGTGTTGGCAGCAACACAGACGGGCTGTGGAGCAACATAGCATTTGAGCACTTTGAAGCAGTTATTTCAAAACTTTCCAAGTTATTGACAAAACAGCAGGATGAAGTCAAATTTACTCACACCGGTATTACAGCCAGAGCCGAGGAGCTCTCACGACGCTGAACTCACACACACGCACCCCTACCCCCTCCCAAATCTCTTCCCAACAGAGCCAGAGCAGAAAGAGGAGATCTCCTATGGGCCCCCGAGGCGCTGAGCCTCTCTCAGGACTCAGTTTTGGTTTTCTCCTTTAGGTCCCACTTCTAGCATCGCTACTGTTGTTTCGGTTCTTGCAATGCAAAGAGAGGCGCGAGCTCCCCGGCTAGCCGGTGGGGATCAGTAAGCGCATCTCCACTAGCAAAGTGTCCCATCCGAGGTCCTTGGTGTATCTTGCCTTCTCTCTCCTCCTCCCTCCACCGCCCCCTCCTGTCTGACCAAGGCAATCTGGAGACTACCGGAGCCATCGGAGCGAGCGAGCCTCCAAACGCGTTTTGAGACGCAACGGAGAAAACTGGCACCGGCTGCAGACGTGCACATTTTTTTCTGCACCCTGCCAGCCAGCGACGCCTCAGCTGCCTGTTCGCTCAGAAGGGCGACAACAAGGTACTCGTACCAGAAACCAGCAGAGACCTCGGACGCTCCAGCACCGCGCTGCCCCGATCCCTCGCCCCGCTCCTCCCTGCGCTCCCCTCGGCCCCCGCGCAGGCTCCTGCCTTCACGCTGCCGGCGGCACTCGCAAAGGAGGACGTAGGAAATGGCAGTGCACTTTTCGGTCGCTATAATTCAGTCCCGGGGGGAGGTGG